AACAAAATAGTATAGATAAGTACAAAAATGATGAAGAATACTGAATGGCTATTAAACAAAGAAGTACAGGATTGATGAAGAACATAAAAATTAGGTAAAGACTGTTAATAAAGAAAAGAATCATTTCAGTGCTGATGAGAAAAAGAAGAAGAAGGAGAGTGTCCTGAATCGGAGACGAGCACTAAAAGTAAAGTTGGAAGATGAAGAAGAAGTTGTGAAATTGTTTAAGGAAAGTGTGAGAGATGGCCCAGACTATGTTGCTGTTGTCATCGTTTACTGTTTGAACACCAAGTCCAAGGATGCACACTTGAAATGTACGAAAAAAGGCATGAAGCTTATGAAATGGCACAGAAATGTATACAGAAAAAATACTGTCATGATTGTACATTGTCTTGTCCAGTGCATTGCCCCCATTCATCATTGTGGATATGTTTTACTTGTCATAGGAAAATATTGAGTGGAAATATTCCAGCAGAGGCAGCTGTTAATTAAATGTCATTGAAGGAAATTCCATGCGAGCTTAGCAGTTTAAACAATTTGGAGCAGCATTTAATTGCTTTGCATATTCCCTTTATGAAAGTGATGGCTCTTCCACAAGGTGGTCAAAGGAATGTTCATGGGCCTGTTGTTTGTGTGCCATCAAACATAGAAAAGGCAACAACTTTACCAAGAAATGACAATTTATTAAGAGTTAAGCTAAAACGAAAGCTAGCTTACAAGGGTTATTATGAATACCAATTTTTAATCCAAATTATATTAATATGGCTCTTGATTATTTAAAGAAAGAGAACAAATGGTATAAAGACGTAGTGATCAATACCTCGTGTGAAAGAAATGGTGACCAAAATGATTTGCTATCAAATGAGACTGTTGAATTTGTAGATGAAGAAGTGAAAAAAGATGAAAGAGATGAAAATCCAGTTGTTACTGACACATGTTTACAGCCTGTAGATGTGGCACAAGAAGTTCTTGATCATTACTTTGATGATGTTTACAATAAAGCACCAGGCGAAGGGAAAAATCCAGTCCGAATGTTGCAAGAAGAAGGAAACGAAGCAAAGACATTTCCACATTTATTTTCAAGTGGCAACTTTTCTTGGAATGATAGATCGAGATGTGAAGATAACTCTATCAAGATATTTTAACAACAGACTTATGAATGCTGATAACAGATTTGCTAAGGATACAAATTACATTTTCTTCTCTCAATACATGTCAGAATTGAACCAAGTTATTGAGAAAACACAAATTTCAATCCGAAAGTCTTTATCAAAGCTTGATAGTGGAAATGCAGTAACATCTGAAATGTTACAGAATCCTGATGTACTCTCAAAACTCCTAAGGAATGATGAGGCTTTACGGTTTATGCAACCCATTCGAGGAACACCTGCATATTGGTCAGCTACTCGGAAAGATCTGTTCGCTATGCTTCGAAATTAGGTATCCCAACATGGTTTTGTTCATTTTCTGCGGCAGAGTTCAGGTGGAACGAAATTATTGGATCAATATTACTTCATGAAAATGATTCTAGATCCCCTTCTGATTTAGACTGGTCAGAAAAGAGTGAAATTTTGAGAAGCAATCCAGTTACTGTTGCCAGAATGTTTGAACATAGATTCCATATGTTTCAAAGGCATGTTATATTGTAACCTTCAAACCCTATAGGGAATGTTATTGACTTTTTTGTGAGAGTAGAATTTCAACAAAGGGGCTCTCCACACATGCACTGCTTGTACTGGGTTGAGAATGCACCAAAATTAGATGAAGATGATGATAAAACTGTTTGTGATTTTATTGATAAATATATCACATGCTTTACCTTCTGAAAATGATGACCAAGAGCTGCGAAAAATTGTTTTGGGTGTTCAACAACATAGTAAGAACCATTCAAAATCCTGCAGAAAATGGGAACAGACTGTAGATTCCATTTTCCAAGACCACCATCAGAAAGAACATTTATTACAAGACAATGTGAGGAAGATGAGGAGGACTTGGAAAAAGGTGGCAGACTGAGTAAATCTCAGGCTAAAGATATCTTGTTGAGTGTTTGGAATGAAGTTCTTGATGATGTAAATGGATGCAAAACAGTGGCGGAAATATTCACTAAAATGCAATTATCACAAGATATTTATGAAATGGCACACAAGGTATTATCTGCAAAAACTAGTACTATCTTCGCAGCTATGTTAAGGCTTCCCGAAGCTTTAAAATGCGCTCAAACATAATATGTCATTGCAAGGTCGGTTTTGGTTTTAATTTATAAGTATTGAACTTTAGTACTTCCAATTTATATAAAGGGTTTCCTCGGCTATATATTAGATTATTTGTTATGATATCACATGACTTTGTTGATCACGTAACGGTCATTTATAATTTTTTGAAGTGTTTGATATAAATCGCTTCGGCGCAGCTGATTAACACAATAATTATTAACATTTTGTTATATAAATAAACTCATCGTATCCTTGTGTATCCGAAATGTGCTTGGGAAAAGTTATAGTATTACTTGGGTACAAAATATTTCCTGAGAGATTCAACTTACCTACATATTTGAGGGTATTTTCCACAAAATATCGTAATCTGTATTAAAACAAAGCCAGCACACATTTTTCCCAAGCAAGATTCAATTAGAGAACCTCTTCTTACAGATTTCCACAAAAATTCTCAGATTAATCCTCATTAATCACCTGCGCCAGACTCTTTTATACACACAAAATAAATTCTACCTCCAACCACGGGTATAAAACAGAGTACATTTCAAAAGTATATTTTTCATAAGCATTTTGAACATGATGAATTTCAATCAAGGGTAGGTAAGCGGTGTATTTTTAAAATATTCGGAAATATAAGACTTAAAAAACCTTTAACGACCCGTGAATTTTGCAATAGCTATCCATTGAAAAATGGAAATGGTTACATTCAGAGAAGAACAAGAGCTAAGCCAGCCATAGTAAGATATCCAAGGTTCAATCCTGAAAATGCATCAGAAAAGTATTATCAGTCAATACTGTAGCTTTTTCTTCCATATTGGACCCAAGATCAATTGAAACCGCTTGGATTCAAGTTTTATCAGACATTTTTTGAAAACGGGTTTGTCAGAATAAGAACTGAAAACGAAGTACAGTCGGTTAGAGTTGTGGTTGAAAATAATCGTTGTAGTTTCTCCAAGAACGAGGCTGCCCTTGAAAATGCTCAGGAAACTTTAGAAGTTTATGGTGAACCTAAAGATGCTTGGGCTAACCTTTGTCCAGAAACTGAAAGAAATCGAGATGAATGTCTAAACGAAAAGAGGACAACAGAACAATCAGAAAACAAAGAACAAGAAACCACTAATGAAATTGAACATGATGGCGCTTCGGATTTGATATACCATATTAGGGAAAATTCAAACTCGAGGCAAGAAATTCTTCCTTTACTGCGAAGTTTAAATGATAAACAAAAACAGGAAAAGAGGACAACAGAACAATCAGAAAACAAAGAACAAGAAACCACTAATGAAATTGAACAAGATGGCGCTTCGGATTTGATATACCATATTAGGGAAAATTCAAACTCGAGGCAAGAAATTCTTCCTTTACTGCGAAGTTTAAATGATAAACAAAAACAGGTTTTCTACAAAGTTCGTGAATGGTGTTTGAAAGTCGCTGAGAGGAAAGTAGAACCATTACATATCTTTTTTACCGGAGGTGCAGGGACAGGGAAAAGTCACCTGATAAAGACTATACAGTATGAGGCCTCTCGAATTTTCGAGAAAAGTGTTTCATCTCCTTCAGATTTATCTGTTCTTCTCACAGCTTTTACTGGAACTGCTGCTTTCAATATTGGGGGAAACACAATTCACCACGTATTTTCTTTAACTAAAGCTCTACCCATTCCATACGAACCTCTGAAAGAACAGAGTTTGAGTGCAATGAGAGCAAAGTTAGCTTCTCTGCAGATTTTACGCAGCTCTGTTAAGGCTGCATAAAGGGGGCGGGGCCTACTTTATACGGGAAAAGTTTACTGTGCCATCACACAAATATAGCAATTCCTCACAATAACAGAAAATGAAATAATTTGCGATTCTAAACTGCATAAGAGTAATGAACTACATCAAAACTTACCACTGCATTCATTTTTGTCGCTAGTTAAATCCCACACAGCAAGATATAAACAAGTCACTGATCGCAATGCACTTGTCGACATGACGTCATCATGGTAAAATCTGACGCATTTTATGTGCAGTGAGAGGCGGATCAAGTAATTTTTATACAGTGAAAAATGCATTTTATTATTAAACAGAATATTATTTGCAAATCTTAGGTAGACCATTAATACAAATCTGAAACGTTTGTTGAGTGTCATTATTTAAAAACTATCGAGAGAATGTATTGAATTAATTCTACCGTGTTTTTTGTCTACAGGGTGTGCATGTTTCACGCCGAGGTGCCTCATTAAATCGCCTTTTCGCAAGGGCATACACTTAATAGATCTTGACCATTTTTTGAATATACATAACGGACTTATTCCTTAACATGAAAAGTGCTGCTGCTTTCCTGAAATCGAAAGCATTACTTAATTAATACATAAAATACTTGATAAAGGTCACATAAATTTCGACATAAGCCAGATAACTTGAAATTTAAACTATTAAAATGCGAATTTTATTTAAAGCAGCAGCACTTTCCATAAACTACAAGTTATGTAGAAACAATTTATTACTTAATTTTTTTATTTTAACTAGAGTATGCCCTTGCGATATTGAAATTTTGTTTGTGACCTACATACAGTACACATTATATGCATTTATCACGTGGCTGTCAAATAACGTGACCAAATCAAATTCAGTACAGAGCGAGGTATACAATGTTATTTCAAATAATATTTAAAGTCATGTGATAATATAGTACCTTTACAAAAATAATTCAGTTTAAAAAGGTATGTATTTATGCACGTTTATATTCTGTTGATTTCTTCGAAGTACGCCTTAACACTGCTGCGTAGTCATTGATGAAGTCTGAATGGTTTACAAACGGCTCTTCTATTACATTCATGAACGACTGGTGCAAATTAAGAAAAGCAAGGAACCTTTTGGTGGTATATCTGTTATAGCAGTTGGAGATTTTTACCAACCACCTCCTGTGAAACAACGAAAGTTGGAAATACTGTATAAAGAAAATGATGAATATCCCGTAGATTGCTGGTTAGACTTTTTCAAAATTGTTGAGTTAGAAGAAATAATGAGACAACGTGACGATGCTGCATTTGCTACAGTTTTGAATTCACTACGGATCCGAATGATAGAGGAACCACTCTCAGAAGAGGCGAAAACAATGTTAAAAGAATGCATTAGAGATGGACAAGATGAGGTACAGCATGTGTATCCTACAAATGACGAAGCAAATGAATACAATCTGAAGATGTTGCAAACAAATTGTGAAGAATTGATAGAGATAACTGCTGAAGATTATCAGGAAGACAAAACTACAGGAAAGCTGACTTTACGTGCAAAACCCTTCATACGGACAAGAACAGATGGCCTTTCTGCTTCTTTGCTGTTTTCTGTGAATGCTAGAGTGATGCTGACAATAAATATTAATGTGGAAGATGGACTTGTGAATGGTGCGATGGGACATATTTCAGCTTTTGATTTTGGGCAAGCTCAGGAAAGAAATAGGGTAGAAGGGATTAGAATTTTTTTTGATAGTGAAGATATTGGGAGACTGCAAGGAAAAAAGACACCACTTGGAAATGAAGTATTGATTCAAATGATACAGGAAGACATCAAGGAGAAAAATACAACGAATGTTGTACAACATCAGTTTCCCTTGAAACTCGCATGGGCATGTACAGCACATAAAGTTCAAAGCATGACAACAAACAGTGTTGTAGTAAATTTAGATCGTACCTTCGTTCCAGGACAGGCATAAGTTGCCATTAGCCGTGTTACTTCCCAAAATGGTTTATTCATAGAAATAAAAGATGAAAATGCACTACTGAGAAAAATTTACGCTAATCCAGACATAAAATCAGCACTGGGTAAAATGGAGAAATTGATCCCAGAGCAAGATTATCGAAACCTCTATGATGACGGAACCTTCAAAACAATTGTTTTACTGAATGTGCAGAGCTTAAGAGCACATTTTCTCGACCTAAAAATTGATACCAGATTCCTCCAAGCAGACTTTATATGTGTCACAGAAACATGGCTGACAGACAATGATAGCATCAAAAATTTTGAAATTGACGACTTTGAATTCAACCATATTACAAGGAAGCAGTCATATGATGAAAGTGTGGACAGTTTTGCTAAACTTCGCATGTCCAAAGGAGGAGGTGTAGGTGTTTATCAGAAAAGAAACGAAAAAGCATTAGTCCATGTTTTATCTCAGAAAAATATCGAGGGAATGGCAATAGAACTTTGTGAGGAGAACACTGTTATAATCGTAGTATATCGACCAAGTTCTCTCAGCGTCAGTTGGTTCCTTGACTTCCTTCAGAGAGTTGTAGATTTTTTTAAGTACTGTATTCTCAATGCCTTATATTAGATTTCAATGAAGATGCACAATCCAAAGGACCGATTCAAAGAATGTTAGAAACCAGTGGATTTAAGCAGAAAGTGAATTTTGCAACAACAGACGGCAATTCTATGTTGGATCATGTATACATTACAGAACAGATGGAAGCAAGTGTAGAGGCCATGCCGGTATATTACAGCTATCATGAAGCTGTTACAGTTCATTTAAAAACAAGATAGAACTTGATTATTCTAAAATGAACTAACATATTCATATTTTGTTTAAGGTATCTGACCCATATTAAAACCTAATTTTCTAACCATAAATATCCATCATGTATTAAATACTCTGATGTTAATTCAAAGCATTTTAGAGTAGAAAAGGATTTACAAAGAAAAAATTTTAAAAATATAATTACCTAAGCAGTAATTAATTAATGAAGATTGCATTGAAGTATATGGGGACAAGCAAATTTTTGAAAATAAAAATTTAAATACTAAGAATATCAAAAAATACTATGGTGGAAAGATGTATTGAATTATTATGAATATAAAAATGATTGAAAACTAATATTTTAACAAATAGATTTTTTCAGAATTGATTTTTATTGATTAAAAGCAAAAGGGGATAACTCTTCATGGACAGGACAAGGTAAAAAATTTGGACACATTCCACTCTTACATATTGATACTAAAACATGAAGATTATGTCAAAATATATTGAGTATTCAGCCAATATATATCTTTTATGCATTCAGATTCATTGGATCTGAGGCTATTATGGATCAGATACCTTAAAATGGGCACTGTTTAGCATCTTTCTATATGACTTATTGTCTAAATCAAAACTTCATCATCGCAATAATTATATCGCAAACAACATTTGAGATCAAGAAGAAATTCAAATGACATGATACAAAAAATATATATAAACAGCATAATTTTCCAACAAGAATCCAATTAATTTATCAACCTGGACATAATGATACAGAAATCGACTTTTAAATGAATGAATCTTTAATCACGGTCAGGATTCATTAGTAATGTTAAGATTTTGCCTGATAAAACTACTTTGGTACATGCAGTCATGCAAGATTTATGTTCATACATGTTTCTGCTCATGTAACTTCTAAAATCAAGGGCAAAAATTTATTTAAGAATTGAGAATAACTTTATTTGTTTGCGGAAAATTATATCGACTGAAAATTCCATGGCACCTTTCCATAAATAGATAAATAAAAGGATGATTTACTCCTGTGCTATAAAATTTATGAGGTTTGCAACTCCCATCATTTTAATTAGTGTTTTCAATTCGGTTGGATTTTAGTAACTGGTAATAAGCGTTTATTTTTCGATCATTTACATAGTTACTTGGATTGTTTGTCTTTGAGAAATCTTACCAACTTAAATGGTCAAGGCATATTTAATATATATATTACTACATATTATCTCTCAGTTCTGTCAGTTGTAATATAAATTCTATTTGCATATAAATATGTGAATACATTAAACACAATATACTACGTCAATTTTTCAGCAAATATCATACTAGCACATCATGTCCTTAAATGTAGTTTACTTGTTAGGTCTTCCGTTTTCAACGGAAGACCTATAGTGATTCTACTGTTTCTTATTATTAGGGCTTTTCGCTTTCAGGCGAAAAGCCCTATTGTTTTCGTCTTGTTTTATTATTAGGGCTTTTCGCTTTCAGGCGAAAAGCCCTATTGTTTTCGTCTTTTTTATTATTATTAGGGCTTTTCGCTTTCAGGCGAAAAGCCCTATTGTTTTCGTCTTTTTTATTAGGGCTTTTCGACTTTTGGCGAAAAGCCCTATTGTTTTCGTCTTGTTTTATTAGGGCTTTTCGCTTTCAGGCGAAAAGCCCTATTGTTTTCGTCTTTTTAGGGCTTTTCGCTTTCAGGCGAAAAGCCCTATTGTTTTCGTCTTGTTTTATTATTATTATTATTATTCTGAAACTTTTTATGTCAAGGATTTAAAGAAATCTTTAAGAGATATATTTATTATTTGATAACCAGCTAATAGACCATCTAAATGTCTCTGGAATGTAAGGTTTTGGACTTCCTGTTACGTCACTTCCGGTCTTTGGAAGTCAAAACCTTTCTTTTCAATAGGAGCCAATATCTTTGTTAATTTACAGATAATTTCTTTAAAATTTAAGGAATAGATTCACGATACTATTTCCTACAAAAAAGTTAGCGGCAGTGATTTTTGACCACAGATACTTTTCGAGCTATAAGACTCCAAACATTGAAGAAGGGGGGATGAAAATTTCAGAAGTGATAAATAATGGTCGAAAAGATATACTGAACATTGCAATTTGTTAAGCATGATAAATACAAGTTACACTGTAAGTATCATGTCAAACAGATCAGTACTTCCGGTTTTATGAGTCTTTGAAATTGTCTATGGGAGTTTATATGTTAAATTCGAAATCACGCATTTCACGTTTTCTCCAAAAGTAAACAAGATATCCTTGTGAAATTCAGAATATAAAATGACTGTGACATTGTTCCGACCTGATTAAGTTTTGAAATTGAAATTCAGGAACATAAGGGATTTCAAGGGGCCGAACCTGAAAACAGACTTTTCCCTGTAACTTTTTTATTTCTTAACCAATTTTTAAACCGTTTTCGGTTTTGGCTTCAGCATTAAGAGTACAACGTAAAAATTATGGTCCGTAGGCTCACTTTTTGACCCCTTATAGGAGTTTCTGAGGACAGAAAAAACGTAATTTGTATTTGTTAAAATAAAAATAAAGTAGGAGTTATCTCTCTTTGCATGGTTGTTAGTACGCTCATTTACTGTAGAGGTTTCAATTTTGGTGCACATACAAAAAGTACTTCCGGTTTTATTAGTCTTTGAAAATTGTCTATGGGAGTTTATATGTTAAATTTGAAATCACGCATTTCACTTTTTCTCCAAAAGTAAACAAGATATTCTTGTGAAATTCAGAATATAGAATGATTGTGACATTGTTCCGACCTGATTAGGTTTTGAAATTGAAATTCGGGAAAATAAGGGATTTCAAGGGGCCAAACTTGAAAACAGACTTTTCCCTGTTACTTTTTAATTTCTTAACCAAATTTCAAACCGTTTTCGGTTTTGGCTTCAGCATTAAGAGTACAACGTAAAAATTATGGTCCGTGGGGCCACTTTTTGACCCCTTATAGGAGTTTCTGAGGACTGAAAAAACGTTATTTGTATTTGTTAAAATAAATATAAAGTAAGAGTTATCTCTCTTTGCATGGTTGTTAGTACGCTTATTTACTGTACAGGTTTCAATTTTGGTGCACATACAAAAAGTACCTCCGGTTTTATTAGTCTTTGAAAATTGTCTATGGGAGTTTCTATGTAAAATTTGAAATCACGCATTTCACGTTTTCTCCAAAAGTAAACAAGATATTTTTGTGAAATTCAGAATATAGAATGATTGTGACATTGTTCCGACCTGATTAGGTTTTGAAATTGAAATTCGGGAAAATAAGGGATTTCAAGGGGCCAAACCTGAAAACAGACTTTTCCCTGTAACTTTTTTATTTCTTAACCAATTTTTAAACCGTTTTCGGTTTTGGCTTCAGCATTAAGAGTACAACGTAAAAATTATGGTCCGTGGTCCACTTTTTGACCCCTTATAGGAGTTGCTGAGGACTGAAAAAACGTTATTTGTATTTGTTAAAATAAATATAAAGTAAGAGTTATCTCTCTTTGCATGGTTGTTAGTACGCTTATTTACTGTACAGGTTTCAATTTTGGTGCACATCCAAAAAGTACTTCCGGTTTTATAAGTCTTTGAAAATTGTCTATGGGAGTTTATATGTAAAATTTGAAATCACGCATTTCACGTTTTCTCCAAAAGTAAACAAGATATTCTTGTGAAATTCAGAATATAGAATGACACCGACATTGTTCCGACCTGATTAAGTTTTGAAATTGAAATTTGGGAACATAAGGGATTTCAAGGGGCCAAACCTGAAAACAGACTTTTCCCTGTAACTTTTTTATTTCTTAACCAATTTTTAAACCGTTTTCGGTTTTGGCTTCAGCATTAAGAGTACAACGTAAAAAGTATGGTCCGTGGGGTCACTTTTGTACCCCTTATAGGAGTTTCTGAGGACTGAAAAAAACGTAATTTGTATTTGTTAAAATAAAAATAAAGTAAGAGTTTTCTCTTTTTGCATGGTTGTTAGTATGCTTATTTACTGTACAGGTTTCAATTTTGGTGCACATACAAAAAGTACTTCCGGTTTTATTAGTCTTTGAAAATTGTCTATGGGAGTTTATATGTTAAATTTGAAATCACGCATTTCACTTTTTCTCCAAAAGTAAACAAGATATTCTTGTGAAATTCAGAATATAGAATGATTGTGACATTGTTCCGACCTGATTAAGTTTTGA